TAATTTCTGTTGGGTTAATACTGATGTGCCTTCTTTCATCCCCCTCCCTCCCTCCTTCCACCATCAGTGAAGGCAACAGTTTATAAATGTTGTTTTCTTATCTAAGAATCAACTTCTGGTCTCATTGTTTTTCCTCTATAATTTTGTTTCTATTGATTTCCACTGTGATATTGTTTTCTTTCTTCTATTTGTTTGGAGTATAATTTGTTCTTCTTTTGAGACCCTTCTTTTCTGGGTTAAGCATTAAAAGTTATAAATTTACCTTGAAGCCCATTAGCCACATCCCATATATTTTGATTGATTGTATGTTTATTTCCATTCATTTCAAATACCTTATAATTTCTTCTGTGTGTGTGTGTGCTTCTTTGACTTGTAGGTTGTTTAGAAATATGATGTTTGATTTCCTAATATTTGGGTATTTCAAAAAGTTGCTTTTGTCATTGATTTTTATTTTATGCTGCCATTTTCATTGATGATTTCAATTTTTAATTTTTTTCTTTTTATCTTTTTGTTGTTGTTGTTGTTGTTGTTACCAGGGATTGAGCTTTGGGGCATTCAACCACTGAGCAACATCCCAGCCCTTTTTTTGTTTGTTTGTTTTGTTTTGAGACAGGGCCTCACTAAGCTGCTGAGACTAGCTTTGTACTCACCATCCTCCTGCCTCAGCTTCCTAAGCCTGATTACAGGAGTGCACCATTGCACCTAGCTCAATTTTCTTAAGAATTTTAGGACTTGTTATATGGCTTAACACATAGTCTATCCTGCAGAATGTTTCCTGTATGTTTGAGAAGAATATCTATTCTGTTATTTGATGGAACAGTCTGTAAATGTTAGTTAGATCCTAGTTGGTTAATGATGTTGTTCAAGTTTCCTATAAATTTTGCTGATTTTTTTTTAGATAGTGTGATTATGTAATAATATAGCAAAAGCAAAATTATCTGGTGGGCTTACTCTAATCATGTGAACCTCTTAAAAGTAGATAATTTTTTCTGGTTTGTGGGCAGAAGGGGAGATCAGAGAAATTCAAACTGCGAGGCGAATTCAATGTGTCATTGCTTTGAAGTTGGAGATAGAAAGGACCATAGTGAAGTTTCTAGAAGCTGTGTGATTTCCAGTCAACAGCCAGAAAACAGCACACCATTACTACAGCTACCAGGAATTGAATTCTTCCAACAACCAGAATGAGCCTTGGAATCAGATTCTTTCCCAGAGCTACCAAATAAGAGGTCAGTCTGGCTGACAGTTTGATTTCAGCCATGGGAGACAGTAAGCTGGGTACCCAGTCCTGTCCACCTGAACTTCTGACCTCCAGAATGGTGAATTAATGAATGTGAGTTGTTTAAGCTGCTGGTAGTTTGTCATGCAGCATTAGAAAACTAATACAAACTGTGTCCAGTTTTAATTTGCCATACCTAGAAGTCCTGTCTCCTAGAAAAAAAAAATTCTGGATTCGCTTTAAAAATTGAAAGATCTTGTTACTTGAGATTTACACTTCTAACATCTAGAGCTAAGCAGTGGCTCTCCATTTCCTGCTTGTTAAACAGGGTCCAGTCCCTTCTGTTCATCTCCTTTCATCACCTAAATCCTACATCTCCAATTACAGGGCTCTGGGACCTCTGAATCTGTAACTCCTGATCAGCACATGCCCAATGGAGAGTAGGTGCTCAGTTAAGTAGTTGTTGAATTAGTGAAAGGGCAATGTGTGGGAGATTTTTTACATAGGAGCATGTGAGTGGACATTTGGAATGGCTAAGCCTGATGGCAATGTATTCTTCAGTGTACCCAAGGAGCTGTGAAGGGCATAGCCCATAGAGCCTGTCCACTGGAAGATTTCCTCAAAATCCTATCAGGAACTTTCACTTACAAATGTGTGTTACAGTCCCACTTCCCAAAGAGGCTGAGAATAGTTTTTAGATTCAATGAGAAAATCAGAGTTCTTATAGAAAGTAGAGAAGAGGGGGATGGATATTAGGTTAAGTGACACAGTTTTAACACTCAGGTCACAAAAAAAAGACCAAGACTAGCACCCAAGAAACTCTCTTGGGCCCCCTTCCCCTAAATATGCCCCACCAAGTCACTACCTGACTTTTCATAACATAGATATTATCAATGTTGCCTCTTCTTCAATTTTGCATAAATGGAATTATGCAGAGCATGTTCTTTTGTGTGCTTCTTTCACTTTGCAGAATGAACATTCAAGGAAAAAAAAATAAGATCAGAGGAGCTCAAATTTTCTAACAAGAAACTTAATAATTAGCCTTGAGGAAACCAAGACTATTAATGATGTGATTATCCACCTCCATTCCTTGAGTTAGTTATCATTAACTACGCGTTTGCCCTTCAGCCAAGAGAAATGACCAGTAAGAACAGAGAATATCTCCTATCCCAATTTAAAAAATATTTAGAAATATTTTAAAAATTGGAACCACATGAACACTAAATGGATGGACAGAGAATGAATGGTCCTACTGTTGGCTGGAGTAGTGCCACAGGGGCCCTGCTGGGCCAGGTCCTAGCCATGAGTTGTTGGATTGGGAAGAGATCTTGGGAGGGGTTCCTCAGAGAAAAGTTGGGATGACCATAGCAGCAGAACTTGGGAGGCTCCTGGAAGTGGCTATTTATCAGTCAGTGCAGAATAAGCTCAGTGTTTTAACATTAGCACAGAGTGATGGCGGCATATTAGGGTTACTCTTTGCATTAACAGTGTGAGGGTTGGGCAGCCTCTGGTGAAACTGGCCACAGGTATTCTGTCATTATGAGAAATCACTGCAACTCAAAGGAAGCATTGGTCTTGATAAAGGTGAGGCTGCTCTGTCCCTTTATAGACAGGAGGAGACAGGATGCCTGGCAGTGTTGACCCTGCAGCTGGAGTTGGCATCTGAGAGTTGAGCAGAGCCAGACTAAGCCATCGGGGCACAGATGTCAAAACAGCTGAGGGCAGTCTTTCAAATACAGTTTTACTCATTTCCACTCACAATTCTTTTTAACTTTCCCACTCTGCTTCAGTATCAGGGGTGTTGGACACATGAAAATATCAACTAATAAGTTGAACTCAATTCAACTTATTAGTTGATATTTTTATGTGTCAATTCAGGACTCGAGACCACTCTTCCAGAAATAGAATCCCTATGTTTACTCCCACCCCCAACTCCCTTGCCTGCCTGGATTGTTTACAACAGAATTAATTGCTCATTTTCCCAGCCTCCTTTGCATGTAGAGATGGCCAAATGATCAGGTTCTGGTCAATAGATTTAGGTGGAATTTAGCTGTGGGTCAGGACAGTGGGTTTGGGGAAAAGATTTTTTTCCCCACTTCTTTTTTTTTTTTTTTCATACAAAAGGACAGCTGCAGTTGGCTCTGACTTCCCCATTTCCTTCTGCCCTTGCTGTGGGCATTATGCCTGGAATAGAGGCTGCCATCCTGAAGCCAGGAAGGAGAGGCCAGGCAAATCACAGTGATGCTGGCTCTAGACCTCACAAGCTGATGCACAAATGCTAACAGCTGCCTGCTCCAGACTTTCTGTTCTGTGATTAAATGGAAAACTCTGTTCATTATGCTTACTTATAGCTGAAAGCATTCCTAACTGATACAACTAATATGAATCATTACTTGTCATAGATCAGCAAAAAGGTGGAGGCACAGTTGAAGATTTTCCAAGTCCAGTTAATGCATCAGAAAGATGCTGTGGATGCTTGTTCCTGAAAGAGTGGGAAGCATCAAAGACCTGTGGGTCAGGTCAAAATGAGACAGATGCAGACTTGAAGGAATTCCTATTGGTAAAGAAGGGATACATTGAATACCAAAAGAACAGTGACTACAAAATTATTAAAAATTAGTCAAAATGAATAAAGGGAAAGAACCAAGAACTTATCCTGTCTTTCCTATATTAATTGTATTTCAGAGCAACTATTATGGTTTGGATGTTAACTGTCCCCCAGATGTTCACGTGTGAGACAATGCAAGAAGGTTCAGAGAAGAAACGATTGGGTTGTGAGAGTCTTAACCTAATCAGTGAATTAATCCCTGATGGGATTAACTAGGTGGTGACTAAAGTGATGGGGTGTGGCTGGAGGAGGTGGGAATTGGAGCATGGCTTTGGGGTATATATTTTTATCTGGCAAATGGAGTCAGTCTCTCTCTCTCTCTCTCTCTCTCTCTCTCCCCCCTTCCTGATCACTGTGATGTAAGTAGCTTCCCTCTTCAGCCATGATGTTCAGCCTCATCTCGAGCCCTTGAGGAATGGAGCCAGACTTCTGTGAACTAAGACCTCTGAAACCATGAGCCATCAAATAAATTTTCCTCCTCTACAGTTGTTCTGCTCAGATCCTTTAGTTAAAGCAGTAAAAAAGCTAAGACAGAAATCCAAGAGTTGGCAATGAATTCCAGCTAAGACAGAAGGAATGACAGCATTGGAAAGCTATCACTTTGCAATACTTAATGGGATAATGAATTTAGTCAATGACCATCAATAACTATTAGGTATAAGGATGACAGAGAGCTGTCTATAATGGAAGGATCAGGCTGACAACACCTGAACCCATAGCTCAGTTTTTTACATTTCTAAAGGACAATCAAAAAGTATGCTGCCTCTCTATGACATAGTCTAGCCAATATGCATATATACATATATATATACACACACACACACACACATATATATGTATATATGTGTATATGTGCGTATATATGTGTGTGTATATGTGTGTGTGTGTGTATATATATATACACACACACACACATATGTCATTATTGAATCTAGTCCACAGGAAATGGAAGAACAAGTCAAATGACACTAGGAGGAATGCAGCTAAATCCAAATGTCAGATGTTCTACAGGAAGAATGAGATTTGTTTCTCTCTCTCTTCTTATAGGAATGACACAATAAAGGAGAAGGGGGGAAGAGTTGTAGAGTAGAAGAGGCTTAAGAGTCCTTTCTGTAGACTGCCATGTATAGGTCATGTTTGAATACTGATCTGAATGTAGAAACCAAAAAAATACCATTTGAGCCAATTAAGATTATTTTAATATATTCTAGATATTGAATCACATGACAATAGCTTTGTAAGTGTGTTTTTCAAAGGTTATTCATTAATAGAGACACTTGCTGAAATATTTATGGATGAAATGAAATGAAAGGATGCCTGGAATTTGCTTTAAAATATTCTAGCAAGAGACAAACAAATATTGTGTATGGTGGGATACAGAGGAAACAAAAACAGGTGATACATTAAGAGACTTATTATAATTTGTCATGGTTGCAAATGTTTTACGCATGACTGAGTATTTTGTATAAAATGGGGTCAAAGATGAACATTTTATCTTCCTGCATTCTAGATGCCAATAACAACAAAATAGAAAGCAATTTAATAAAAAGCTTCCAAATTCTATTTCTTTCCTTCATAGTATCATTTTCATAAATGCTAAAACAAATGCTCCAGTTACAAAACCAGGAAGTCAAGCAATGCCTTGTACCTCTTCTTTGAAGAGCATAGGCTTCCACGAGTACTTTAGAAATACTAGTCCATTTTTCTAGTAGACCTTATTTGTTCTTATCCAGCAGTGAAACTTTCCAGGTGTCCTAGTCCATTTTTCATTACCATATTGAAATACTTGATGCAGGCCAACTTTATAAAGAAAAAAATGATCTAACTCACTACTTTGGAGATTCAAGGGCATGGTTGCCAGCATCATCTTGACTCTGGTGAGGACTTCATGGCTGATATTACAGACGTGGGAGCACATGTGCGAGGGAGAGATTACATCTTAAAACAGGAAGCCAGAGAGACTCTACATGGTCTGTTTTATATTTGTAGCAACTTGCTTTGATGAAACCTTGGGGGTCTCAGAGAGCTGTCTTAACTACTTCCAAGAGCAGCTCCCTCAGCCACATAGGGACCCCTCCCACTAGGCTCCTCCTTTTAAAGGTCCCATTACCACACTGGCACCAAGCTAGGCACATGAAATTTTGAGGGATAAACTCAAACCTTATCCAAATGATAGTACCAGGATGGTTGTCCTCTTTTGAGTCCATGTATTCCCAAGAACACTTTGCTCTTCCCGTTGACTGTTAGCAACTTGTCCATCCTCTTCCTCCAGGTGGTGAGCCATCCTCTGTATCCCCAGTCAAGGACCTAGAATCCATTCCCATTATTCTCTATATTCCTTACATCTTGAGTGCTAATAACACATACTAGGTGCTCAATAAATTTTTGAGAAATGTATAAACAGATCTCAATTCACTGTGTTTTACACTTGAGGAGTCTGACACCTTAAAGAGTGGAGTTGCTGGGTGGGCTAGGACTGCGAGTCATCAGAATTCAGGAGCATTCTTGAAAAGTGATCATTCAGTGTTGCTTCTAAATCTCATACCTGATCCCCCAAATCTTTCTTTTTATGATAATATCCTTCTCTTATGATAATACCACTTTGAATGCCCTCCACTCCAATCCCAATTTTCTCAACAAATTTAGTGTTCTTTGATATAACAGTTTGGGATTCTTCTAGAAGACATTACTCAAGTTGTTTTAGGCAAGAAAGATCATCAGTAATTACCAGGAAAAAGCAAACAGATAACGTGGTGTTGTTTTAATAATAATAAATGATGTTTTCATAATAAATTATGTTTTCAGAACTATCAACACTTCTTCTCCGGCTTCGAAATTGTTGAGTCGATACAAGAAAGCCAGGAGATTATTTGGTTTTTGCTTGTTTCTTGACATTTAACCCCAAAGCCAAGGCATACTTGGTGGGATGCATGATGATCCACTCCTGACCCAAAACGACCTTGGCCCTTTCTGAGCCTGGCTGATCACTCAGAGCCCGTCTTTGATCAGAGGTCAGACTGAGCTATTACACCTAGCCCACCTTCAGGAAAGACCTGTCACTTTTCTGATACTCTTCAAAGTAACAAACCACAGTGATGGAAAGCCAACCCAGATATCTGACTCTCGTCTTTGTTGCTTACTTCTGTGTCCCTTTACATGGTAGCTTCAACATCACTTCCTCTGACTTCGCATCTGGATCAAGTAGCTTCTACTCCCATGGCACATCACAAGTCATTTGTCCTCGTTCCTTCACTACACCTTACTTCACTCCAGCTTGTAAGCTCCTCTCTAAGTCAGGACTGTCGGCCATGTACCATTGTATCCCCATGTCTTAAGACATGCTAATTACTCAATCAATACTTCCTAAGTAAATATACCAGGAAGTTGAATTCAGGATTCTGTACCCATCAAAAGCAATCCATACACTTGCTTAGGGAGACATTCTTTTCTCCTACATCTCTAAAATCAAAGCTGTTAGGATTCTACACTGTGTGTTGGCACTTATTCTATGACAACTCAGCAACAAATAAACTGTGACCTCCTCGATGGCAAGACATGGCTTAGAGTTTTCATATCTCCAATGCTCAGCGTGATGAGAGAGCTGGCTCTGAGCCCTGAATGTGGCTTTAGGCCCAAGGGTCTCTAAGCTGTCGCCTTTTCCAAAAGGCCTGAGAGCTGGATCAAGGTTATTGGGGGATGTAGAATAAAATGATGACCATGTTAACAGAATCCTTTCAAGATTCAAAAGGCTACTAATTAAGACTGTTCTACTTGCTAAACTGTAGAGGAAACACTTGGCTTAACTTAAAACAGTGAAATGGAAAGGGGAAAAAACATTCTGTCTTTAGAGGTGATTAAAGGCTTGGTGGCAAAATGAAAATAAACCCCTATCTGTCACCATGCACAAAACTCAACTCAAAGTGGATCAAGGATGTAGGAATTAGTCCAAAGACTCTGTGCGTAAAAGAAGAAAAAGTTGGCCCAAATCTTCATCATGTCGGATTAGGCTCTGACTTCCTTCACAAGACTCCTAAAGCACAAGAAATAAAATCAAGAATTAATAAATGGGATGGATTCAAACTAAAAAGTTTTTTTCTCAGCAAAAGAAACAATCAATGAGGTGAAGAGAGAGCCTACATTTTGGGAGCAAATTTTTGCCACACACACGTGAGATAGAGCACTAATCTCCAGGATATATAAGAACTTAAAAAACTTAACACCAAAAAAAACAAACAAACAAACAAAAAAAAAAAACCCCACCAAACAACCAATCAATAAATGGGCTAAGGAACTGAACAGATTCTTCTCAGTAGAAGATATACATTCGATCAATAAATATATGAAAAAAGGTTCAACATCTCTAGTAATTAGAGAAATGCAAATCAAAACTACTCTAAGATTTTAACTCATGCCAGTCAGAATGGCAGTTATCAAGAATACAGATGACAATAAATGTTGGTGAGAATGTGGAGGAAAAGTCACGCTCATACATTGCTGGTGAATCTGCAAATCGGTGCAGCCACTCTAGAAAGCAGTATGGAGATTCCTTAGAAAACTTGGAATGGAATGACCATTTGACCCAGCTATCCCACTCCTTGGTCTATACCCAAATGACTTAAAATCAGCATACTGTAGTGACACAACCACATCAATGTTTATAGTAGCTCAATTCACAATAGCTAAATGTGGAAGCAACCTCAATGCCCTTCAATAGATGAATGGATAAAGAAACTGTAGTACATATACACAATGGAATGCTACTCAGCATTAAAAGAGAATAAAATTATGGCATTTGCCAGTAAATGGATGGGGTTGGAGAATATCATGCTAAGCAAAGTAAGCCAATCCCAAAATACCAAAGGCCAAATGTTCTCTCTGATAAGTGGATGTTGATCCATAATGGGAAGGGGAGAGGCATGGGGAAAATGGAGGAACTTTGATTGGGCAAAGGGGAAGGAGGAGCGGGGAGGGGCATGGGGGCAGGAAAGATATCGGAATGAGATGGACATCATTACTCTGCATTCATGTATGACTGCACATAGGGTGCGACGCGACATTATGTACAACCAGAGACATGAAAAGTCGTGTTGCAATTGTGTACATGAATCAAAATGCATTCTGCTGTCATATATACCTAATTAAAATAAATAAATTAATTTTTTAAAATATATAAAAAATAATGGGACTGGGGTTGTGGCTCAGCAGCAGAGTGCTCACCTGGCATGTGCAAGGCACTGGGTTCAATCCTCAGCATAAAAATAAATTCATAAAATAAAGGTATTGTGTCCAATTATGACTAAAACATATTTAAAAAAATAAATAAATGAAAAATAAATAAATGAAAGGCCTGGTGGGAGAAGGGATGCATGATACAGATACCTACCACCTCTCTCCCCTCTGTTTTTCTTCTTTCTCTATCTTCTTGTCTCTAAGAAGGGACCTTCTCTAGAATGGCCAGCCTGAGATTTGTCATGTCCTCATCTTCTCCCCTTCTGCCTATTTTAGCAGAAGGAAGCTGGCTTTGTGGAGAGTGGCGAGAGGAACAAAGACTGCAGGCAAGAGCTGAGACTCCTTTTCTGACACTTACTCCGCACAGGATCTTGACTCACCCAGAAGATGACTCAGCTTGGATCCCTGATCAGTACCTGGGGCCTCTCCCAACTGAGGCCCATTTCCTGGACCTGCTGCTAATTAGTAGATCCAAATCTGCAGAAAGAAGAATGGATATGAGTTATTCACAATAATTCCCATGTCTCCCAAATAGTAAACTCTCAGGTATTCATGTTAAGGGAGTATTTATGGGAGCTTAGAGCCCAGAGAAGGAACAAAAAATATTCAAATTCAGACTGAGAGTGAAAAATAAGATATTTCTTTTGCAATGGTGAGCTATATCTCACCCTACATCAAATGAAATCAATCGAAAGGCCTGATTCAGAGCTTTCAGGGGTTGCTGATCCTGTAGTAAACTAAGGGGGGAAAAAATCACTAGACTAAACCCATTGAGATTTCATGAATATGAAATGCACCGTCTCCAAATGTCTATAAACTCAGGGCTGAATAGTTCAAATCATGAATATTTTTCAAAACTACCCTTTCAGAAGCTTCACCCATTGTTACTTCTGATAGGAAAATATTGGTTCTTTTAACAGTGTCATCATTTTTTTTTCATCCTCTAAAAACCTGCCCCAGCTAAAAGGCCATTTGGTAAAGGAGAATATCTATAGACTCTTGGGCCTAAAGTCATATTGGGGGCTCAGAGCACTGGAGATATGAAAACTCTAAGCCATCGGGGAGGTCACAGTTCATTTGCTGCTGAGTTTTCATAGAATACATTCCAACACAGTGTAGAATCCTAAGAACTTTTGTTTTAGAGATGGAGGAGAAAAGAATGTCTTCACAAGCAGGCCTATGTATTGCTTGTGACTGGAACAGAACCTTCACCTCTGCAATACTTTCATACCCACCAGAACTTAAACTTTATGAGAGCAGGAATCTCATGTATTGTGTTCACCATTACAGCTATATCGCTTTTCACTGGTGCAAGGCATTAGAGAACAGCATAAATATTTGTTGAACGGATGAACCAATGCCATGTATATTCACATGGGCGCCTGACACAAATCTGTGTCATGTATATTTTGGGAAACGGAACTATGAAGTCAAGAAACAAACTGATTTCCTCGAGGTGATGGTCACCATCACCTAGCATTTGGCTCATGTGACTCTTAGAGTTAATTACTCATAAAACACAGCCAAAACCCCTGGACAGCTGCTGTTCCTTTAAGATTTTCTACAAGATAGGAAAATATGGAACCATGATTAAATGTCCTATATGGGTAGAACTAAAGACAGGATTTAATGTAACATTTTTAAAGTGTCAACTGTTATCCACAAAATGTAGGCATGAAAAGACATTTCAGAGGAGGAGTAGAAGCAGGGGGTAGAGCATGAATTTTTATGTCTTCAACAGTGAAGGGACAATTCCCCAAGCTCCTTTCTGCTTTTACATGCCTTGTCCTTGCTCTATAGCCGTAGAATATGCCGACCGGTTTTCTTATATTGGTAGAGGACATAACAAGGAATTTAAGTAGGTCAGAGAATATTTTAAAACTCCAAACAGAAGAGCTGCTAATGAATTTAGTTTGGAGTGTCTTCCCACCAGAAAAAAAAAAATGACAGACCTTTCTCAAACACCTTTGGCTATTTGCTCATCAAGAGAAGTCACACATTTTCTCTCTGTAGAAAAGTGTCGAAGAAAAAAAAAATGACCGAGTTGAGTTGCTCCCCTGATACACTGAGGACTGGGACTGTTTTAAAAATTCAATAGATACCATGATAATCCTAGAGAACTATGAAAACACTCCATTTAAAGAAGGTACACAAGGTCAGGGTCGGGTTGTTCCATGTCAGGGAAACTTCATATGGTAAAGATTGAAATGCGGAGGCTTGGCACATCCTCGCCCGTAGAGCAAAATGAAAAACTTTGTGTGTGTGTGTGTGTGTGTGTGTGTGTGTGTATGTGTGTGTTTAATAGTGCTTGCATGGACTTCCCATTTTTGTGTTTGGGTTTTTACACAAATGGTACTTATAGTATCATTGTGCAATGTTCCTTTTTCTTGCTCAACAAGATGCTCTGAAAAGCTTTCTCCGATAGAAAGCAGAGGACCCTCTCATCATTTTTACCTGCCTGGTGTTCCACCAGAAGGATAGACATGGTTCAAGCCATGAGTGGAAGCTGTAGTTTGATTCTGAATGTCCCCCCCCAGAGGCCCATGTGTTAAGGCTTTGGTCCCCACTGAGAGGGTGCTACTGAGAGGGGCTGGACACTGAAAGAGGTAGGGTCTGGTGGGAAGTCTTCAGGACGTTGGGGGTGTTCTTTAGAAGGGGACTGTGGAACTCTGGTCTCTTTCTCTTCTTTCATTTCTCAGCCATCATACGAGCACATTCCTACCCTCCTGTGTTGCTGTACCACAGGCCCCAAAGCAACAGGGCCAACCACCCATGGACTGGAACCCCCAAATATGTGAGCCCAAATAAACCTTGTCTCTTTATAACTTGATCATCTCAGGTATTGGTTACAATGATGGAGAAAGCTATTTACCACTTTTCTGTTTGCACAAGTCACGCTCCAGAGAACAGGCTTGAACAGAACTCCTTGTGCCAAGGTGTGTGGGTTTCTTTAGGATAGAGATGGTGACAGATTGGAAAGTGGAACTGCTGGTTACAGAGGGATGAGCATTTTGAACGTTAACAGCTGTTGCCAAAAGAGCTGCAGCCCTGTGATCCTTTGTACCTTCAAGTTTAATCCCTTTGTTTTGGGGATGAACATTATGTTTTGGCATCAGAACTTCTTCAGATATGTTAGAACTCACTTCTGAGAATCAGTAGAGCTGACATTTTGTGATTTTTCCTGGTGTTCCTCACAACTTCCCTCCTTTAACCCTCATCTCAGCCACCCTTGAAGACAGGGGTTATCCACACCCTTGGAAATCAGAGGCCAGACTGAGGCCTTAACTGAGCTTGGATAACAACAAAAAGCAACTCAAAATTCAAAGTCAGTGTCTGATGTCTCCCCTTCTTGGCCTTTTAGGGTTCTCTGGAAACAGAGACTTTATCAAACTTAGACTACTTTTAAGGCTACTTTGAACACACATAATTATAATGGACTCATCTCAGAAAATCAGCTCCATAGATAAACCATAGGGTTTTCATTATGTCAATTCAATCACACATTTCAAAAATATATTAGGAGTTTATTTAGAGGCTTCTGAAAGGTCTAATAGGTATTGTTGCAGCAGAGACAAAAAATATCTAGGAAATATCCTGAAGACTTCCTACCTCTTTCAGTGTCCAGCCCCTCTCAGTAGCACCCTCTCAGTGGGGACCAAAGCCTTAACATATGGGCCTCCAGGGGACATTCAGAATCAAACTACAGCATCCACTCATGGCTTGAACCATGTCTATCCTTCTGGTGGAAGACCAGGCAAGTAAAAATGATGAGAGGGCCTTCTGCTTTCTATCAGAGAAAGCTTTTCAAAGCATCTTGTTGAGCAAGAAAAAGGAAAATTGCACATTGTTACCATAAGTACCATTTGTGTAAAAACCCAAACACAAAATAATCACATACAATGTGTATGTGTGTGTGTGTGTGTGTGTGTGTGTGTGAATCAAAAAAAGATGTTCTAGGAATAGGCCAACTATGGGGTAGGGAGGCCAAATGAGAAGTCAGACATTATCAGAAAGGTTTGCCTTTTTACAATGCATTTCTTGTACAAAATAATCACCACAGATAATAGTTAATAACATATATTTGTAAACAGTTTCAATATAGCAATGCATAATAATTCATAACCAATATAATAAAATTTATAATTGAAATAACTTATGAAAGAAAATTACTATAGTAATTTATGATTTTTACTTGCATATGAGCTTATTATTTGCATAAGAAATTTCAAAGAATCCTATTGGAATGTCTGTTAAGCATGCAGATTCAATTACCATATGTTTGTGAACCTGTACATTTAGCAAATAGATTCTGCTGCTGTTGGTCAAAGGTCTATTCCTTGAGAATATTTCATTTCATCAGTTCTTTTCCCAGGGTGCACATGAATCACTCAGGTCTTGTTAAAGCTCAGTTCTACTGTGGCAGCTCTGGAGTGGAGCCCAGGATTTTGCATCTCCAATGAGGTGCTGCTGCTAGTCTTTAGACTCAGGAGTTAAGCTTTAAAATGGGTTCAAATTCATGAAGTGGAAGAGCAAGGGTATGGAGGCGAGTGGGGAGCTTGGCTGGGGAGCACTCAGGGAACCGGTGTGATGGAGCGGGGACCAAAAAAGCCTGGGGAACAACAATGCCAGGCTAAGAACATGGTACTTTAGGTGGGAGCCCAGCTTCCCAGTCACAAGGAGAACAGAGAATGAATGTCAGGTAGAGTCTGGGAGGTAGAGCCATGGTCCCTAGCACAGGTGTCCAGAGCCAGGCCTGGGTCCCAGGTTAGGGCTTCATGAAAACCCACAACCCAAGTATGGAAAAGGTTGTTCTGTTCTCTCTCCTGGGACTGATGTCTGGAGCTAAATTATCAGGAGGCCCAGGGCCACTTATCTTATGCAGTGGACAAGGGCTACTTTCCATGGCATGGAACCCTGCCAGTGTCTTTTGACAGATAAAGTCAATGCCACTTTATTCTGTGTAAAATGATACTTTTTCCAATTTGGTATGAAAAGAAAACCTTCATTTTAAATCAATTGAACTGACTCACGTAACTATTGAGAGGTCTTCAAGAGAAGGTTGATGAAAGGTCCAGATGAGAATAATACAGGATGGGGTAAGGCAGAGACAAGCACTGCAAAACCCAGCACTCTGGGATCTTGCTTGACTTTCAGGGAGGTTATTTGACTCTGATCAGGTAATTCTCTGCTTCCCTTTGCAGAAAGAGTTTCCCCCAAACTCCTAACAAGAGTAACTTCAGAGCAACAGGCTACTATAAGCACCCATTTTGCATTTCCAGCTTCAGAGGGCAGCTTCCTGTACTCCCCCGGTAGACAGTTGAGGTACAGTGTGGGGTCACATGAGTGATTTCTAGGAATGCAGTGGTACAGTGACCCTCCCAAACCCCTGTCAGATCATGCCCTTATGGCAATGACAGGGATCTTGAGAGAGGCGACAAGGCCACGACACAGAATTTCTACATGTTGGTCTATATCGG